GACTGTAGCAGTGTGACACACAGGGTGACTGTAACTGTGTGTCACACACAAGGTGACTGTAGCTGTGTGTCACACAGGGTGACTGTAGCTGTGTGACACACAGGGTGACTGTAGCTGTGTGTCACGTGACTGTAGCTGTGTGTCACACAGGGTGACTGTAGCTGTGTGACACAGCGTGACTGTAGCTGTGTGTCACACAGGGTGACTGTAGCTGTGTGTCACAGCTACAGTCACCCTGTCAGACTGGACGAAACGCAAACGTTTCGTCCAGTCTGACGACTTGCAAAACGAAGCAGTTCATCCATAACAGAGGTGTGTGGGTTAGATCGCGTAAATATCTAAATGTGTCGTTAAAGCCGCTACCACCCGACACAGCCAACTAGTAAGGTGAAACACCGTCGTACACGAATCCTTTAGTGATGGTCACGTTAAAATAATATCAGAACGTTTATTTTGTTTGCCACCTTTGCTGTTGTTTTCCATTATTTCACGCCGTTTGTTATCGACGTCACGGCAATGCGTGGCGCGTGGCCCCGCGTCAGAGAAAGGGGCACCCGCAAGGTGACGTCAAGCGCCGCTCCTCCAGTGAATCGGCTTCCTGATCTACACAACGGGCACGCCTTTTGTACGTCCCTTAAAAGGCGTCCGTCGCAAGGCAATGAAACCTTTGGAGCGAGAATTTATCCAATTGCAGTGAGATGCGCAGGAGAGCTCCATTCAGCGCATCCAGGGAGCCCACGGTGGGCCCTCCAGCCCAGGTCTCACTTCGGGTGGGTCCGCGGGATTATTTTGGCAAGAAACATTTCATTCTCTAGGTGCGGACCATTTTATTTCCATGTGCATATTTACGCGTGCGTGAATTGTACCTTCAATATTTTTTTGTAAATGTTTTGTATATGTTTACGCGTATATATGGTAAGCGGTGCAAAGATCCACCGGACCAATGTGAATTTGGATCGGGTAGATATGTAGTGTTCGATTTCACTCGGACAACTTTTGTCTTTCTTCGAACACGCTTTATTTACAACTCTCCTCAATATTCCACAGTATCCATGTCGCCACGTACACGATGTGTGCGCGCAAACACAGTACCATGTATACACGGAACACACATGCAGGATGTTTACAATGATTATGAATGTAATGTCTTACACAGCACAAGTTCACACGGTACTGTTGAGTCCTTGTCGTACTTCCCAAAGCCACATTTACTACACCGTCATCAGCAGCTATGATCGATCCACTGCTGGGTGAAGGCCTAAGGTTAGAAAGCAAACATTTATTCCGTGGTGTAACCCCCAACCCTCTGCCCCCATCCCAACTCACCAGGCAATTTCAATGAATTGTCACAATTCAGGGTCGCGAATTGATTAAATAATCCATTCTTCTTTTATATATAAAATTGCGGTGAATGTATCGGCCACTAGTGGCTGCTGCGAGGGTTACACGATCCCATGACATGCAACATACGTATACGATTTCACCAAAACAAATATTATTCTTACATGTGCACGCACACACGATGATGCATCGTGAGGTTAATAATTCAACATGAATCAGTGCATCATCTCTAAGAGACCGTTGTTTTAGTCACGTTTGAAGAGCTGAAGAACGTCTATGAAAGCAAATCTCAGCAATCTCTCCAATGGACTTGGCGGTCCCGCTGTGGTTAGAAATGGAATGTTTACGTCAGCAGTGGCAGGTAGTGTGCTCCTCAACACACTGTGGTGCTCACTTCTGGCTTTACTCTGAAACATCTTTTCCAACACCAACTTCTCTCTCTCTCTCTGCCCCCATCATGTTAATCCGCTGTTCTTTTACGTCGATCAACTGCGGGATGAATGCCTCCCCATGCCGAGCGGTCCGTGTGCGTTATTTGAACACATTTCATCGCGCCGGTCAGTGCAGGGTTGGTGAGAATGGAGGTGCGTATGAAGTGGGAGCGTAGAAGAACTCTACAACAATGAACTTTCCTGTACTGCCTTCTCCTACCACACCGCGTTGCCCCAGCCCTCTTGTACACGGTGGTTACTCATCCATGCACTAGCCGGGCTCAAACCTGCTTAGCTTCTGAGTGTTTTGATGACCTGGTGCATTCCGAGAAAATTTGTCACACGCCCTCGAGGCGTTCTGTCACCAAGAACACGATTTTTTATGTTGAGCCCCACAAGTCATCACAGTCAGCCAATTTTTGCAGTCCTCTCTTTCTCTCCTTCTTTCCTCCCACTGCTCGACTTTGAAATAAACTAAAAACGAAACTCTGAACTATTTTTCATTTCACCAGGAAAGGCCCCACTGAGCTACACACAGGCAGATATTTTTTGTCAGAAGCGAGCAACCTGGCCACACATTATAGCTCAGCGAAGTGTGCTTATGTTGTGTGTGGTGGACATTTATAGCAGCCAAATATTCCAAATGCATGTTTCAAAAATGCGGAGGGAAAACCGGACCACGGGGAGAAACTGCAAACACCAAATATAAACATAAAATACCCCTCGTCACTTTTCTTAAGTTCTTATTACCTTGCTTATTGCAGGAAGTGTGTTGACGCTTCTTTTTTGCATCTTCTAGTGCACTGTTTGTTGCTGGCTCATTGACATTTTGAGCACAAGGCAGGATTGTGACCACAGGCTTACCCCTGCCTTGAATGTCACACGTGCACGTACAACAAATCATGACTCTGGCTCAGATCAAGAACCGCGTTCCACTCCCATCAACCACAGCTCCCATCAGAGTGCTGTTTGTGCCTGGCCGCCTCGCGCGTTGGGCCTCTACTCAGCAACTGTTTGCACGCAAAATTTACAGGCAGAAACCATCGCTTTTATGATTTTATTATTTTTAATGTTCAATTTATTATTTTTATTTGAAATGTTATTTTATTATTTTTATTTTCTATCTTTGTGACTTTACCGCAAAGAACCAAGAATATTGTAATACATTTACACTGTCAACTTTAGCTGTACATTGTGAATACGAAGTGTATATGGTATATTTATATGTTTTACATAACGTAACACAATCAGCCATAGATCAGCGGGGTCGTGGTTCAAGCGCGGGGTCAGAGGTCGGCAGGAAGCGCGCGGCGGGGTCGGAGGTCAGCAGGAAGCACGTGGTGCTGGCGGCAACGCGGCCTCAATTCAGTTCCATGTATTTGGTATAACCCTGTGAGCCATTCAGCTCTTGAATCGGGTGCGGCCCTTCCCTCTGCTGCTGCTGCCCTCTGCTACTGCTGCTGCCCTCTACTGCTGCTGCCCTCTGCTGCTGCTGCCCTCTGCTACTGCTGCTGCCCTCTGCTACTGCTGCTGCCCTCTGCTACTGCTGCTGCCCTCTGCTGCTGCTGCCCTCTGCTGCTGCTGCCCTCTGCTGCTGCTGCTGCCCTCTGCTGCTACTGCTGCTGCCCTCTGCTGCTACTGCTGCTGCCCTCTGCTGCTGCTACTGCTGCTGCTACTGCTGCTGCTACCGTCTGCTGCTACTGCTGCTGCCCTCTGTTGCTGCTGCTACTGTTGCTGCCCTCTGCTGCTGCTGCCCTCTGTACTGCTGCCCTCTGTTGCTACTGCTGCCCTCTGCTACTGCTGCCCTCTGCTACTGCTGCTGCCCTCTGTGCTGCTGCTGCCGCCGGTGCCCGCGGGTTGCATTGAGCTTCGCGTGCGAGCCGAAGGGCGACGCGAAGCGGCGCTTCTACGGAGAGGAACAGCAGCAGCAGGAGCACAGCGCCCTCGACTGGCAGGTGCAGTGGTGGCGGCCTGGGGTCGTGTTAGTGGTGGCTATGGTGGTGGTTGTGGTGGTGGTTGTAGTGGTTGTGGTGGTGGTGGTTGTGGTGGTGGTTGTGGTAGTGGTGGTTGTGGTGGTGCTTGTAGTGGTGGTGGTTGTGGTGGCTATGGTGGTGGTTGTGGTGGTTGTAGTGGTTGTGGTGGCTATGGTGGTGGTTGTGGTGGCTGTGGTGGTGGCTGTGGTTGTGGTGGTGGTTGTAGTGGTGGTGGTTGTGGAGGCTATGGTGGTGGTTGTGGTGGTGGTGGTGGCTGTGGTGGTGGTGGTTGTGGCTCTGGTTGTGGTGGCTGTGGTGGTGGTTGTGGTGGCTGTGGTGGTGGCTGTGGTGGTGGTGGTTGTGGTGGCTGTGGTGGTGGTTGTGGCTCTGGTTGTGGTGGTGGTAGCTGTGGTGGTGGCTGTGGTGGTGGCTGTGGTGGTGGTTGTGGTGGTGGCTGTGGTGGCTGTGGTGGTGGCTGTGGTAGTGGTGGTTGTGGTGGCTGTGGTGGTGGTGGCTGTGGTGGTGGCTGTGGTGGTGGTGGCTCTGGTTGTGGTGGTTGTGGTGGTGGTGGCTGTGGTGGTTGCGGCTCTGGTTGTGGTGGTGGCTGTGTAATTGGTTGACAATATTTTGTATTTCTCTCAATTTCAATAGATTTTATAATTAGTATTGGCCAGTATTAAGACTAAAATAACACCAAAGAAATATGTTGATGTTTGTGTAAAACGAATTATTATTGGCCACGACTATTTAGATCATCTGTTGAAATTGAGAGAAATAAAAAAAACTATTTCACCGTTCTGACAGCTGCAGGCTCAGTGCTGCTGGGAGCGTATTGTTTAGTAATACATTTAACGCATGCTTATATCCAGGTTATCGTATGGTTACTCTTTGGTTCTTTCGGTAAAGTCACGTATGTAAAAATAAAATAAAACAAAAATAAAAACAACTAAATTAAATCATGACGTTTCGGGCGCAACACAAGCGTCAAATATTGCATTCACTTGCAGAGAGTTGTACCTGTACATATCCGCCCTGAAGCCAATACAGTCTTTTGATTTTGGAGAGCTTTTGTTTTTCTGTGAGGTTTACCTGAAATGGAATTGTGTAAAGTGTTGTGCATTTTTAACGCGAAGCTCTCTGTGTGTGTGTTTTTACATAAATGTAATCACAGGCCGAGCGATATCAGACTTTTCGTCCCGAGACGGCGGTCTAGAGATTTGATCCAGACGTCTTGTCTCCTTGCACGCCTCGAAGGATGATGAAGCTACGCCTCCCGGTCCTGTTCCTCTCGCTGCTGCTGCTCAGCGTCTCATTGCTGCTGAGCGTCTGGTACATGTACAGCTGGAAGGGCTTCCTCGTTCGCGACCTCGACGCACTCGGCAACTCGTCCGTCTTCAGGCCAAAGCCGGGGTCTGCTTCCGATAAGATCAACCACGTGATGCTGTGCGGGCAACGGGGAGCGCTGCAGAACACGTCGATGATGCGCGTGCGCGACACCAAGATATTCTTGGTGTCGGCGTACCACGACCAGCGCGAGGCCGGTCAGAGCACACGCATCATCGGCATCGCCAACCGGTATGAGCCGGACGTGCTCTCCTGCCACTTCTGCTGCCGAGGGCACTCGGAGATCCTGACGGTCACCGCCAGCGCCTACGTCCACTCGGATCACTTTGACTTCCCGTACGGCACGGCCGACTTCCTGTGCACGGAGCCGCTGGACTGCGAGCCGGGACACGTGTCCGTCCAGCGCATGCGCACAATACCGGACGAGGAAGAGGCCGAGTGGGTCTTCATGCCCGTGCGAAATCGGCTCTACATGCCCCCCACCATCACACAGGAATTCAGCGTCTGCATCTCCACGCTCTTCGGGAACTACGGCAACGTCCTGCAGTTCGTGCAGGCGATCGAAATGTACCGCATCTTGGGTGCGGGCCGCGTGACGGTATACAACACAAGCTGCAGCTCTGAGCTGAACAAAGTGCTCCTCTACTACATCAAGACCGGCCTCGTCGAGGTCGTTCAGTGGCCCATCACGGACTACGTGTGGGTGTCCAGAGGGTGGCACTACCCCGAGCACCCAGGCGAGCTGCACTACTATGGCCAGATAGCGGCGCTGAACGACTGCGTGTCTCGGCACATGTACAGCACGCGCTACCTGGTCCTCACGGACATTCGACGAAGTGATCATCCCTTTTGAAGCACACAAAATGGAAGGACCTCATGCGGTACTTGAACGACAAGTACGGCGCCGACATTTACAACATTCGAAAACCACGTGTTTCCCTACACGGTATCGGAAGAGTTTGGGTCGTAGTTCCAGGCGTGGAACGCCATCCCGGGCGTCAACATCATGCGCCAACATTAGACGGGAGCCAAACCTGCCGGAGGTCTTCAACCGACCAAGATGATCCTGAACCCACACTGCGTCGGTGCTGCAGACGTCGGTGCACAGTACGCTCACACGCGCTGGGCATCTCGCAGACGGGTGCCACGGAGACATCGCGATCATGCACCACTACCGATCGCCAAGCAGCCCGACCTGCCGCTCGACTCGCTGGCGTGGACCCTCACGCTGTGGAGATCAATGCCACTCTGATCAGAAATGTCAACAAGGTCCTCAACAGGGTCTTCTGGAATGAGTAGGCACAACGGGCGGCGGTGGCGGCGTGGCGTTGATTGTCATCTTGCGTTTTTTGCGGTCTTGCAATTTGAGTTAAAACACCGGTGTTTGTGAGTTTTTCCGTTTGCGAATGTGGTCAATGTATGGGACATATTTATGTTGCTAATCTTATGATTGCGTTTACAGTTAAAATTTGTTATCTTCAATGTTTTTCTGCATTTGAATCCACCAGGGCACAATAGGGTTGTATTGGTATGTCTTATGGAAGCTAGGGAAGTTACATTGGTTTATTTTAAACCAATCCTAATTTATTTCTATTGCTTTATGGGAGTACCACTCGAAAATGTTTTCAGGTTAAAACATTTTAAAATGTGGGCACAAATTGATTTAAATAATGTTCATGTGGCATGTTCTACCAGTCTCTAATGGCTTATTGTTTTCATGACTCGTGTCCACGGAGGTAGTCAAATCCCAGAGATGGTGGCAGGATTTTTAAAAAGTAAAATCCGGTGGTGATAAAAAAAAATGTACATACGATATTAAACTTTTAATTTGAGTGATAATTTGAATGACAGGTGTGTTTTGGGCCAAATGAGCTAGTAAAGACTCACATTAAACATAAATAGATTCAGTAGGAATATATTTATACATCCAAATGTATATAGTTGTGTATTTGAATATGTATCAACACCAGCTGTTTGATACATACAACTCATTTTTAAATTATAAAGCCATGTTAATGTATTCCTAAACAATACATGGAGTTTACATTGCTGAATTGTTGCATTAGATAGTTTCACGATGGATTATTCAGCAGAAATCATCATTATCACGTATTATCAATCTTGCAAACCAGTTTTAAACATATACAGCAAAATGCTATTACTATTCTTTATCTACATATATAATATCACAGATCTGTCCTGTCATTCTGTGACTGTGATTAACGCCCCCGGATTGGTTTAAGTGCGTCACGTGACCCCGAGCAAGCAGCCAACCAGAGGTGCGCCCCCCCAAACATGTACGCCCCCGGATTGGTTTAAGTGTGTCACGTGACCGCGAGCAACCATCCAAGCAGAGATGAGCCCCTCCCAAACATGTACGCCCCCCGATGCTGCCCTGAGGCAGAGCCGTGCTCGGGCCGCTACTGCCCTGAGGGAGATGGGTGAGGAGACAGGTGACAGGAGAAGGGTGAGTGAGAGTGAGGAGAAGGGTGAGAGTGAGTGAGGAGAAAGGTGATTGAGAATGGTGAGAGTGAGGAGAAGGGTGACAGTGAGAATGGTGAGAGTGAGGAGAAGGGTGAGTGACAGGAGAAGAGTGACAGGAGAAGGGTGAGTGAGCGTGAGAGAAGGGTGAGTGACAGGAGGATGGTGAGGAGAAGAGTGAGTGAGAGTGGAGAATATATGTAATTTGTACGTGTTTATCTTAGGGATGATCCTTTGGTAGAATACTTCAATACAAAACTTCCATAAGTCGTTAACAAGTTTATATGCTTAACCCAGATATCATGGCACTTATGTATTTGTAATGAGAGTGCGCCACCTACAGGACGACCGGGGGGTTATTGCAGACACGTGCTATGTTGTCTCACATCCAATCAGTAAGGGGGATCCCATCTGGGTGAAAGGTAAATGGGTTAGAGCTAGCGGGAAGCCTCGAGAGCCCTCTAAAATGTTCCGGGAGGGGCGTGGCTAGAGGCGGAGCTTAGCACCGCCGAGAGGGATATAAGCAGAAGCAGCAGAGGACTCTGGGTCGTCGGTGTGAAGAGCCTGGGTCCGAACGTCGTCACCACCTGCGCTACCACCCATCGGCCACGTGGCGGGCTCCACCAGCTGAGCCTCCCCTCTCTCCGACACGCCGTCAGCCAGCGGCGAGGTGGAGAAAGAGTGAGTGCCACGGCGGCGGGAGGCAAAGCGTGCGCCGCCGTCCCGGGAGCAAGAGAGAAGCCAGCCGCGCAGGGAGACACGTGCTGTACTGCAACTTGAGAATAAATACAACTGAAGTTTAACCCATGTCGGAGACGCTGATTACATATTGATAAGTGGATGTTAATAAAACATGCAACTAGTCGTAGTCAAAACCTTCTGTATTGTCATGTAACAGTGTATCCGTTCACAAAAGTTAACATTTAAAATCGTGACGTTTAACAATATTCACATGCAGCGGTTGGCAATTTTACGTTTCAACTTTCCAGGCACTCGGGTTTGTTAATTCAGAGAGTGAAACAGCAAGGGACATTCTCGTCTCTTTGTCCTCTGTTTTGCCCTTCGGGTGCAGTGAGTTTATGGTGTTTTGCCATGGGTCCTCCCTTGCTCTCTCAGAAATTCCCTGAGTCACTTCCTTGCCCATGGAAGAGTTATTCCTTTATGGCCTTTCATTAACGTTTCACCTTTTGCTACATGAGTTAGGTTTATTCCTGAGAAGCGAAATATTCGACGGCTTTAAGGCCCTCCTCAGCTCTGGTTATTCTCATCATGCCCATCTGATCAATGTCTCTTGTATTATGTTTACCCGTTTCTCATTATAGTGCTGTTTTGGCTTCGTCATCTGGTTTTCCCAAGCTTCAGCATGCAGGGAACGCATATTTGTCTCCAAGGAGCCATGATATAAAAAATAGACAATATTACACTAACATTTTTTTGGAAGAGGCATATATACAACAGGTGTGGGAGCATGGCACTGAGGTTTAGGAAACTGTAAGTCCCAGGGTTCTATGGTCTGGCCTTCCCATAAACAAAACACGAGGAATGGTAATGGTGGTTGCTTACGCCTCCACCGACTATTAACACCAGTGGAGGGATGGAGGCAAGGCCGGTGAGTCAGATGCCTTCTATGACCTGTCACAAGTACTAGCTAAAGTCGCCCCTTGGGATGGAGTCATCCTGTCGGGTGACTTTAATGCCTGAGTGGGTCATGACACTGGCATCTGGGCCAAGAGTGATTGGAAGGCATCGGCCAGAACAGCTCAATAACAACGGTAGGAGGCTGCTAGACTTCTATGCAGCACATCTGGGCTTACCAACACGCTGTTCCGGCATCGGCGCATCCACACAGCATCATGGATGCACACTGGGTCCAAGCAGGGACATCTGCTGGACTATATAGTAACAGAACACCGAATGCAAGCCCATGTCCTTGACACCAGGACCTACCGTTGAGGTGATCTGCCCGTTGACCATATGCTTGACATCTGTAAGATTTTCCACTCCGGTGGTGGGTGTCCATCTAGGACACCATTCAAAGCCACATTGGCCTGGTCTCAGCTAGCTGATGAACGTTGCAAGTTAGAATGTCATCATCTCTTGCAGGAGAATACAAGTTAGGAAGCATTAAAGTCAGAACACAGATCAGAACATTTAATAAATGACTGCGTGTTGTCTTGGTGTGGTCTGGGACTGTTTTGTTGGTGTTTTACTGCCTTGCCCTAGCTTGCGTTCGGTATTGATACATCGGCAGGCATGTATGTACTCATTTAATTTGTACTTAGATACTATATTTATAGTCGTACATTTTTAGTGACTTGCATTACTTTTTTCTATTTTGTACTCCTAACAAAATTGTATTGCTTGTTGTAACTTGATCCGCCCCTGCTGGACATTTGTGAAAAAGACCAGAAACCTTCACATTACAGGCATCGCAGAGTCCAATTCCAGTTGCCTCCAGACACTCAGACCGCCACACGCAAGCCCGCACTTTGTTGAAGGAACTGGTTCCCAGAGAGTTGGCTGCAACAATCCAACTGCAACCAATTTAACGGGGTTCAGGAGTTACATGAGGTGCATCCGAAGTCAACGCTACATATTGACAGAAATAATTGAATCACGCTCTATTGGGGGCAGAGTGGTGCACCAGAATGTGTCTGGGATCGATTCCAGACTCGTGTGCTTTTTTGGGTGGGGTTGGCATGTACTCCCCTTGTTCTGCATGAGGGTGAGTGAGCGTGTGAGTGAGTGGAGTTGGAATGTACTCCCCTTGTTCTGCATGAGGGTGAGTGAGCATGTGAGTGAGTGGAGTAGGAATGTACTCCCCTTGTTCTGCATGAGGGTGAGTGAGCATGTGAGTGGAGTTGGAATGTACTCCCCTTGTTCTGCATGAGGGTGAGTGAGCGTGTGAGTGAGTGGAGTAGGAATGTACTCCCTTGTTCTGCATGAGGGTGAGTGAGCGTGTGATGTGAGTGGAGTTGGAATGTACTCCCCTTGTTCTGCATGAGGGTGAGTGAGCATGTGAGTGAGGAGTTGGAATGTACTCCCCTTGTTCTGCATGAGGGTGAGTGAGCGTGTGAGTGAGTGGAGTTGGAATGTACTCCCCTTGTTCTGCATGAGGGTGAGTGAGCGTGTGAGTGGAGTTGGAATGTACTCCCCTTGTTCTGCATGAGGGTGAGTGAGCGTGTGAGTGAGTGGAGTTGGAATGTACTCCCCTTGTTCTGCATGAGGGTGAGTGAGCGTGTGAGTGGAGTTGGAATGTACTCCCCTTGTTCTACATGAGGGTGAGTGAGCATGTGAGTGAGTGGATTTGAAATGTACCGTGGCGAGGCCCTAATCCGCTGTGTACCAATGCTAATGATAACGAAAACGGGATGGCTGCGGCAGGACTCTGGGTGCACGCCTCGCCGCTAAGGCTGTTTTTTACTATGCACACGCTGTGTAAGTGCGCGCGAGTGCCAGCAAGTGGGCCCCACGCTGAAACCCTGCAGCCCCGCACACACCCTCTCATGCACACCGTCTCCCCACAAAAATCACAGACTCCACGCCGAGGCTCTACCCACACACACAGAAATGAACTAAAGTTTATTAACGGCACAAAACCCGCTACCTGGAGGGGGAATATTTCGTGAGGAGAGCCTAGCCTAACTCTGCCTATGACCCCAGTTACACAAACGTCCTACCATGTACCTCGTAGCTGTTCTCACGGCTATCGCACAGGACGCTATGAGAGTCAGAGGGAGATGGACGAGCGAAATCCCTTGCCTATCGCTGCCTCATAGCAGCACTCGCTGGCATCACATGGACGCTGCGAGCAGGCT